AATGCAAATCATTGCGGAGACTCTTGAAAATTAATTGAAAAGGGACCTATGAAAAAGAAAGGGTGGAAGTCTGCCAGCACCGAGAAGAGATTATAAAAATGTTCAGAACTGACAAATAATGAAATATACAAGAACATAATGACCCCAGGATTTGTCACACATAGTTAAAGTGATCATGACAGAGAAAATCTTTTATTACTTTATCAATGTTTGAGCTTCATCCTTAAAACAAAATCTCTTAGGTTAATATGTATTTTGTACAGAAAGAAATGTCATTTTGTCGCTTCGAGAAAGGTTGAGTTAGATGATAAGATAGATAATATTGTATATAAAAGATATTGAATTCAAGATCTTTCACTTTATAAAAAAAAAAAAAAAAAACATCATTACTCTAAATTAATTTACGTACCCTTAGCAGCCTGCCCTCTTTGGTGCAATAACCCTTCTTCTTGTTTGATCGTAATTTACGTACTCTAGCAGCTTGCCTTATTTATGTATTTTTGTCAAAGTTATTGCAAAGCTATTGGGGTTTTTGTCAAAGTCTTTGATAAAATGGCAAATTTCCATTTCTAAAAAGGAAAAATTTTACAGAGTTTGAATTTCTGAAGGCGAAAGTTGAATTTGATAGTGGCGCTCTCAATAGAGACAGAAAGAAGCATATTTTGGTTTGACCAGCAAAGTGGCTATAGTGTACTGCTCATTGAAATTGTCACGCAATACGTCGTCCCAACTTGCAAATAACTTGAGGGTTTGCATGAATTGACCAGAAAGAAGCATTCAATAGAGACAGAAAGAAGCACCCGCAAAGTGGCTATAGTGTACTACTTCTTGAAATTGTCACGCAATACGTTGTCTCAACTTGCAAATATCTTAGAGGGTTTGCATGAATTGACCATTAGATCTCTACTCTCAATCTCTTTTGTTTTTTTTTTTTTTGGTGTAATATCTATAGATACTATTATCAAATCATATTCATATCTACTTTGTCATATGAATTGGAAGAAAATATCTTGGAAATTCGAAAGCTAAAATTGTCTTACAATAAAGTATAGCAAGAATTCATAGATATTTTATATGAATTGGAACAAAATAACATGGAATCTTGAAAGCAACAATTGTCTTACATGGAAAGGGCAATTATCAATGACACCGCTGGACTCTGAAAGTTTCTTGCAGTTGTAAAATAAGATACCATATCTTCAACCTCATTATTTAAAAAAGATTTGTTGAACTGAAAAAAGGACACGCTTTGGACGCTGATCCGGACATCTGGGTTGGATGATAAAACAAAATTCTGATATAAACAAAAATATAATAAGTGGCGTATTCAGACTTTGATACCTGTTAGAATTGAGTGTACGCATTCAACACAATTCAAGTTTTGGTCCAACTAAAAGGAATATCACCTCCAGTATTATTGGAGCATGTTATTTGTCAGGCTAATTTTGGATATATCTCAATGAAGGCACATAAACTCTACAGCATATATAAAGTTGAAGAATGAATCTTTGATATCTTTTTCTCTTCTTTTTTTTTTTAACTGTACCTTTGATGTCTTCATAACAATGCAAATTTGATGAAGTTGTAAAACAGGCAACTGACTGTTTGAAAACAACATATTATTAAGGGGACAAAAGAGTGTAAAGAAAATAATCTAGGAGTCCGGTGAATAGTTTCCTCTAAATTGTATCAAATTTGGTTGTCAGAATTGTTCTCAACTGTGGAGTAAGATTTTCATGATGGAATTGAAACACCCGTTAACGCTGATAACTGTTGAGAACTAATGAAAATTGGAGAAGTATAGATACCTAGACTAAAAATTAGGAAGAGGAAGTTCAACTATATATACATAAAATTAACAGATGAGATGAGGTTAAGTGTTTAGGGTTTGCATGTGCACAAACATGTGGGATGTCCGAAATCTCATCCCAATATTTGCTTCTGTCCCAAGACCAGGTTGTGATCAGAAGGATGGTCCTGCCTGTTCGACAAGCGCCAATCCATTTGATATGCACACATTTCTAAACCCCATCAACCATTCTGCAGACTCTGCAGGAGTTGAATTGATCGTTGAATGGGTGCAACTGGGTCATGAGTTACACACAATCCAGTGGTCCTTTTTTTTTTTCTTTGGAATAATGCCTTCAAGCACTCAACAGATCAGCAATTCAGGCATTATAACCATGAGGACAGCGATTTGTTCAACGCTGTCCTCATCAAGAACTGCAGATAACAATTGAATATAACATAAAGCTAGTAATATAAGTTTGAGTAATGGATTCGTTGCATGGGTTAATTCGTCCAATTAAATAAGATGCTTTGAATAGATTAGTCTATCATGTTGAGGATTGCATTTATGATTTGTTTAATTATTTGTACTTAGCACAGCAGCCGCGGAACCTAATAAATAGAAATTGACCTTTATATTTTATAAAGTATATAATTCTGTGCTTTCAAGATATTAATTTTATGCTTTTGTTTTTTGAGCAAAACTAAAAACTTTTCCATTGATCAAGAAATGAAGAATTGTTTGTACTCGTGTTTCTTTTCCCCTGTGAGAGATCATGTCAAATCAAATTGTGCATTTTCAAGCATAAAATTCATCACATCAATAGACTCTCTCTCTCTATTTCTTTCTTTTTTTGGAGATGTACAGAGATACTACCGATTTAGCAAGTTAAAAAGTTTTACCAATTATGTCTTTTCCAACAATTCATGCTATAATTCACTACACATACATGGAAGTAATTTTCCAACAATAATTGAACTGAAGTTTTGATGCCAAGGAATTCTACTTTTAAATTTTAGGGTCATAAGGTAAATTTTTGTAAGAATTCACATCTACTTTATACGAATTGACGGAAAAAAAAAACTCCGAAAATTGAAAGCTGCAATTGATGGCTTTGAAAAAGGCATTCATTAATAACACCAATAGACTCTAAAAGTTGCTTGCAGTTATGAGATAAGATACCATATCCTCCACCCCTGTTATTTAAAATGATTTGCTGAATTAAAACAAAAGAACCCAAAAAAAAAAAGGAGTTGCTCTGAGCACTGAACCGGACATGTCTTGAGTATTAGTAGTAAAAGTTCTGGTAAAAACAAATATCATAAGTGGCACATTTAGAATTTGGTAATTCTTTGGATTTGTGTAGGTATTCAATAGTTCAAGTTTTTGTCCAACCAAAAGGAGCACCTTCAAAACCATTAGAGAGTCCGGTTAATTCTGGAGTTATCTCAATGACAGTGGATAATCGACCTCAATAAAAAGGGTTAAGAACGAATAATTGAGTTCTTGATACCAAAAGGGTCAAGACTTTTTCTCAACCATAAAGTAAAATTGTCATGATAGAACTGAATCATTTGTTAAAGTAAAAATTATTATAATATAAGGAGCGGATGTGGCCAAATAAAAATTAGGAAAAAGGCATCTATCATTATTAATGTTAAGTTTGAAAGGTTTACTTGATGGTTGCCTTATATATATATACTAGGTGGGTATCCCGCGCAACGCGCGGGTGCTGGGTAGTAGGTGATAAATGTGGGAAAATTTGGTTTTCAATTTGTGCACGTGTGGTTAAATGCTTTGAATGGATAATTTTAGAATTTTAATTAAATAGAGTATTTGTAGCTTTTTTGTGGAAGTTCAAGAGTAAAATCTATGTGATTTTTGTTTTTATTTGTTGTGAGTTAAATATGTTGCGTAAGTTTTTTTTTCAGGTTAACCGGTGGAAATATCATTTGTATATTGTGAGTTAAATATATTGGATAAGTGGTGGAAATATATTTGTATATATATTTATATATATATTTGTATATATGTACAATTGTGATACGTATGAGTATTATATGTATATATATTTATATATATATTTGTATATATATCTATATATGATTGTATATATGTGCCATACTTGTGTATGAATGATTATTATTTATATTAATTAGTATATATCTATATATATTTATATATATCTGTAATGTATAAATGTATATATGTATAATTATTGTGTACGTTTGTTGGTATATATCACTACAAGAAAACTGACTTTTCACGACGCCAGAAATATGCTGCAAAAAGTCCAAAAACCGCCGCGAAAACCTTTTTGCGGCACAAATGCGACGGAATTAAATTGTGTCACAAAAGTAGCCATTACAAAAGAAAACGACACAATTTTTCAACATGTCGCATGCATTTACATCATCACTCTTTGCGACGCCAATTTTGAGTGTCACCACTCTATTTGCGGCACAAAAAATGCGCTACAAAATGTCCACAATGTCATGCGACAAAAACTTGCGTCACAAAAAAGTCACCAATATAAAGACCAGAAATCAATTTTTTCATGGTACAATAATTATCATGCTCAAATATCCTAAAATCAAATATTATAACAAAATATAGTTCCACAATACACTAGAATAAAGTATCATACATTGTTTTAGTCAAATTCTACAAACTTTATCATTTAATATTGTTCGCTCCAATTACAAGATGTTTCATATATTCCAAAATGTGCTTGTCTTCAAAAGTACAACACTTCATCATACATCTCTCAAAAACATCTTCATATCTCCCAATCCGCGTGCTTCCAATGTACCATCAAGTCCAGGGCTGCAAAGTGTATTCTATTAGTCCCCTGCTCATATAACCCCAGCCCATTAAGCATGAAGAAAACGTTAATATAACAATAGATACTGAAACGGAATTTGTAATTCAACCTTTTCATAGACACTGAAAATTAAGACCACTTCTACTACATTATGTCCCATAAATAGCTGGCTAAATCTTAACAAAAATAGCTCGTCTTCCCAATCATACAAATACTCAATGGAAAACTTGACAGAATAGAGTTATTTCCAGAAACTTTTCCAGTACCTCAAGCAAGTCGTTTGCAAGTAGTCCTACTCCTTTTCTTCTTTGTATTATGGTTCTGGTATAACAAAAGACTAGTCAATTAAATATCAACAAGGAGCTCATGCACAAATAATCATCAACAAGGAAGTCATGCACAATTCAATATCAACAAGGAACTCAGCAAAATTGGTCTTCTATAGAAGGACCAACTCAAAGTACGCATACTATACCTCAAGAATATCAGCAATTGAAGAAACTTTTTTATTCATTTCACACTTGTTTATTTCAGCATCATTTGTTCCAACTTCCTTGTACATTTCAGCATCATTTGTTCCAACTTCCCTGTTCATTCTATCACCAACCTGTTACATTATCAACAAAGTGTGAAGAAAAGAAAATCAGGCCATAGCTACTGATATTTCAGAGAGTTTGAACACAAAATCGAATTGTATGAATTAATATACAACCTCTAATGAGTCCGAAATTTGAGATTGTTTTGCTGCATTCATTTCTCTTCTTTGGAGTGATGCCAAGTCACATGTGGATGCCCTCTGGAAGAACAAAGATCAATAGTAACTAAAGCAATAAAAAAATTAGAAAAACTATAATATTTAACCAAATAGTTATCCCAAACCATTCTTGCTTCAAATTGAGCAATCAACTCCTCCTTAAAATCTACCAATTTCGAATTCATTTCTTCTCGTAGTTCACCACGTATGATTTCCACTTTATCATTCACTGCATCCTCAAATGCTTTCTTTTGTCCAGCATTCATGTTATCTGACATCCTATACACGTCTTTTGGAGTCGCACCTACCCCATAAGTTCGAAGACGACCTGGTTTTTCAGGTCCAAGGATATTTTCATAGAGTATATCTTTCACAAAATTATCATCCCTGGATGTCTCTGGCAGTTTTTGTATTTCCTCATTCATAGTTGCCTAAATTGAAAAACAGACAGAAGAAAGAATTATTTATGAAGTAAAACCAATAAAAAGTGACTAAAAGCTATTCTTACAATTGTTTGTGAAGTCAACTCATCCATTTGTTTTCCTTGTCTTGAATGAATAAAAACGTCTAGTTTCGAAGGCTCTTTTCCAGTTTTAATCCGAAGCTGCCACATATTCAAGTTACATACTAAAGTGTTAATATTTCTAAATAAGACTATTTTCCAGAAAAAATTGCTAGAAACATAAGCATTAGAATTTAATATACCTCTTCCCTGAGGTTCACATGATCTTTTCGCCCTGTTCGATGTGGCATCTTTTGTTTTTTTCAATTCTTGCTATTAATCTTGCTTTGCTTCTAATTATGTACAAAATAGAAAAAGGTAGTTAACAACACATTAAAATCATAATAGCACTAGAATTTAATTCAAAAGCAAAAGAGATGTGACAATAAATACATGCCTTGACATCTTCTGAGCTCCAATAATCAACCAAAATAGGCCATTGATCCTCCTCAACTCTTGCAGGACAGTGTGCTAATAGGAAACACAACATAAATGATTTTGTCATGGTTGAAGATATATGTGAATATCATTACCTGGAGCTTTAGGCCCATCAATTAGCAAACACAACATAAATGATGTTTGCTTCATGCACATCCATGAGGGTAAATTATATGGCACTAAAATCACTGGCCAGGTGCTGTATTTATTGTTCATTGCTTTGAATGGGTTAAATCCATCCGCTGCAAGTCCAACACGAACATTGCGAGGATCACTAGCAAAGCTTGGGTGCCGGTCATTAAAATGTTTCCAAGCTAAAGAGTCTGCCGGATGCCTCAATTTTCCATCCTTGATGCGCTCCTCTTCATGCCATCTCATTAATGAAGCAGTCTTTGATGACATGAACAGCCTTTGGAGACGTGGTTTCAAAGGAAAATAGCGAACAAGCTTTGCTGGAACTTTGTTAGCTTGTTCACTTGATTCATCGGATTGTTTTACAATTTGCTTATACCTAGGAGTTCCACACTTTCTGCAAAAGGTTTCATGTTCTGTCTCCTTCCAATAAATCAAGCAATCATTGGGGCATGCATGAATTTTATGGTAGCTAAGACCCAAGTCTTTAACAATCTTCCAAGCATCACGATAAGAGCTTGGAAATAATTCATTCTCAGGAAAAACTTCCTTGAGAAGCTCCAGTAATATTGTCATTGAGTTGTTGCTCCATCGACAAAGAGACTTGACATGCAACAACTTGATGACAAATGATAGAAGAGTAAAATTTTTACATCCAGGGTATAACTCCATTGTTCATATTTTCTTGATTGAAGTCCCATGGATCTTCACCATGATAAATCCAATTTGTATAAGTGGTCAAAAAGCCCTTCATTGTTACATGTGCATGCACAGTTTCTTCCTTTCTTCATTCTGAGTTTTTACATCGCCTACATGGGCAATATATTCTACTCCCAACCTCCTTCTTTTTGTAGGCAAATTTAAGGAAGTCACTCAGACACTTTTCAAAGTATGGATTATTGACTCGGTCTTCAATAAAGATCCAAGACCTATCATCCATTCTACAAGAAACAAGATTGAGAAGGCAAGAAAAGAGACCTTATAAACAGAATTGAAAAATAGCAAATTTATTAACATGCAAAAAAAATAAAAAATAAAGTGCAGCATGTGCATCCCAGTTTGCTATGCTCATAGTGGAATGCGATGTTAACAGTTAACCCAACTTCTCAATGCCAAAAGAATGTGGTGAATTTATGTCAATATGCAAACCAGTGTTTTGTTTGCAAGAAAAAGAAACATAGATAAATCAGGGGAGCTAGATTGTCTTACAAATTCCTAATTGCAACTTGGTAGAACATTTAATTGCTAGCAAGCTACAATTGCTAGGCAGATAAAAATGATGGTTATGGGCAATTCAGATAGTTAGATTGCTGTTCAACTATGTACAAGAACTTGTCTACTGTATTGAAAAAGACATAATCCGGATAAAAGTGGCCAAAAAAAGGAGAAGTAACAAATGCATGACAACATAACAATTTACACAGAAGTCCAAATTTTCAAACTAAAACTCTAGAATTCCACCTTAAATCACATTAAGTCTCAAATAATTGAAAAAATCCATTAAAATCCACATTTAAAAATCATATAGTCGTTCTCCATCTTAACCCAATAAAAAGCATAAATAACTCAAGTTGACCATTACTAATCACTAAATTCCTCTTACTGTGCCCTTAAAATATATAGAAATAGAAAAAGAAGAGAAATCAACTTGAAAAAGCGATTCGTGAAATAATTGAAATAAAAAGACACCATAAGCCCGATCCAGTGTAGCAAATACAGCTCATTTTCCATGAGGTAAAAGGTCTTGGCACACTATCAGCAATGGTAAGAGTAAGCACAGAATATTGAAAGCCATGTGTATTGCTAATAAACAAAAGCTTCGGTGAGAATGAATAGTAGCCTTCAGTAAAACTTCGTTGAGTTATCGTGAGCCTGGAAAAAACAGACTTGCATTTAATCCTACATAAATTCCTAAAATAAGTTTGGTTCTGATCAATCCTGTGACTATTACTTATGAGCAAGTAAAAACAAAGACCAGTGCCAAATTTCAAACACTCGACACAAATAATCATGGCAGATGTATTAAATACTGAGCAGACTAATTTCCCTTAGGAAAATCATGTGAATTGGGCAGTAGTAATATGAGAGTAAAAGAGATAAAAGAAAAAAGGACTGGCTTTGACAGATTAAAATAAGCATACGTCAATCACTTTTGTTAGAAACTAAAATAGCCAACACAAAACAAAAATGCTCAGAACTTCAACGATAACAGAAATCAATTAGAAGTAAAAATACAAGGTTACCTAGTTTTCGGGAATCACGGGGCGTATTAATCTGAGCAGAACGCCACGTACTGCCCCCCCAACTGATTCTGCCTTCTTGACAACCAAGCCCACCATTCAAGAAACTAGAAAGCTGCAATGTTTCCAAATTGTTGATTGAGTTGTCTCAAAGCTACAATTGGTTTATCGATAGAGAACCAAATCCAACCGAGGATATCCAATTTATTCACCTTTCGAAAAATGACCTAAAATTGAAAGAAAATTTGGTTTGATATTTCTACTGCAGATATAAAACTAAGAAACAAACACAAAAATTAATTGACCAGGAATTAGGAACCGAAGGTATTTCTACTGCATCATTAGAAATCAAAGGGAATTGAGAGATGGAAGAGAGAGAGAGAGAGAGAGAGGTGGAATTAGGTTGTTTGCTTTCAGACTTTGGAAAGGATCAGATTTTTGGGTATTTAGCTATTTAGGTGTTTAGTTATCTTTAGAAAGGATCGTTTGTTCCCCCTTTTTTTGGGCTTTATTTTCTTTTCTTTTCTTTTATGGGTTTTATTAAAACTATGTCATTTTTATGTAAAAATTAGGAACCGTTGTGAAATTTGCAGCACAAATTGAAATTTGCTGCTTATTTACCGCACTTTCTCCTTGTGCCACAGCAAAAGCATTGCAAAAAGCCCGTTTTCTTGTAGTGTATTACTGTTATATACATGTATATTATATATATATATATACGTTTTTCAGTGTATATTACTGTTATATACATGTATATTATATATATATTTTTTATATATATTACTGCATATTACTGTTATGAAGTTAGCAGAATCTATGCTGTATTGACGTGTGCATGGTAGATATTTGTTTGCATGTGTAGGTAGTATGAGACGTGTAATTTCTTGTGTGGAAGGACGGTAGGCAGTTCTGAAAATTCACGTGTGTCTAGTGGTGTTTCTTGGTTATATATTTGAAGCTGGGATACTGGTAAGAAGTGTACGTTTAGTATTTGTCTGTAGATAGTTAACGTTTGCAAATGGCGGGTGGAAGTGGGAGATTTCCGACTGCTCAATTGTATTATCCAGAGGTGGATGAAGAGGTGAATCAACTGGCTGTTGTTCGTGGAGCAGCTTATCCTTTGGGAAATGGGTGTCGGAATCGTCCAGCTGAACCTGTTGCACGAGCACATGTGGCAAATGTTTTGCTGAAAAATGAGATATGTAATTTGTTCAAGGAATTTTATAGGCATGATGATTGGGCGTCGGTTCTAGAGGCTGCGTTTAGGGTCGGAAGGGGCTATCCGATCTTGGGATTGATTGCTAGTAGAATGAGGTTGGAGGTGTTAGAAGAAAGATATTACTTTCCCAGTCCGCCATCTTCTAGTGACTTGGGTGGCGAAACTGATTGAAGGTTTTGGCTTTGCGAAGATGTGTTTCTTGGTTTGTGTATTGTTGGTTTTTGACGTATGGTTTTTAGCGTATGGTGTTTAGCTAGTAAGAAGTGTTTGTGAGTTTTTGGAGAATATCATGATCTTCTATTTGCTACATAAAGTAGCATCATATGTATATGTATGTATTTTATGAAGTACTGAAGTTTTTATTTGTAGAAGTGTGGTACAATAGCATGTAGTGAAATTTTGTGAGGAAATTTAAGATTTGCAATGTGTTGGTTTTAGATTGCTCATAACTCATGCGAATGTAGCCTGCAGTTTTTGGGAAGTTGTTTGGAATTTTAACATGAATTAAAAGAATTTTATTAGGTGTATCAGAGCTAATGAACATGAATAAAATATGTAGATTAGGTCTATTATCATGTATGTAGATTAACTTATATAATAACTTATACAATTAACATGAATAAAATATGTAGATTAAATCCATAATAAAATGAAGGATATTTCTGCGATATGTTCATATGTTCCATCGCATGTATGAGATTTGGAACCAGCGTAGAGTGAATTATTGTTCAATGAAAATTTGTAGGA